GCTCGCCGACCTCGACAGCACATCAGGCGTTGGCGTCGCGCCCTCCAGCCCCTTCATGTACGCAGCGGCCTTGGCAGCTGTCTCAGTCTCTGTGGCCCCGTCGGACTGACGTCGGATCACGATTCGAACAGCCTGGCCAGAGGCAAATGCACCCATGACACCGATGACACCGGCAGCAAGGAGGCGCCCACCTGATTCTCGCCGCGAGAGGACATGGTAGGCACCCGTGTCGATGACGACACTGCCCGATGGGAAGAGCGTGTGTGTCGTCCAGGACTTGAGATCGCGCATGGGGACGGAGGAAGCAGTGAAGACGGTGTGTGGGGGGCGTACCACCACCGGGCTAGGCGATGCGCTGCGGCTTGCGTTTGAGCTCTCCGGTCTCGACTGAGATTGGGAAACGCTATCGTGCGGTATCTTTGGTGAACCCCGATCGTAGTACTGGATGATGCCAAAGATATTTTCTGGTTTCTTGCTCGACAAGATGACGGTGGTGACGCCCGCCGCAGTTGCTATCTCAGCGGCAATAATTTTAGTTTCCATTCCACCTGTACCGAGACTCGATCCAAGCGTCGTTGTGCTAACTGGGGTAATCCATTAATCTGCAGTCAAGAGGCCGAGTGCGAAGATCAGTCACCTTCGGACCGGATGGCAGCTATGGAGTCGACAACTTGTATCTGCCTAGCATTTGGGTCTTTTCTTGGATTGGAAGTGTACAAGCCGTCGACGTCCGTCATAAGGAAGAGATAATCTGCATGTATCATGGACGATGTGATAGCAGAGAGCGTGTCATTGTCGCCGAATTTTATTTCCTGATGGAAAGGGAAATGAGGTTACTTCTCTCCAAACAGTTGGATATCGACTCACGCTAACTGAAACCGTGTCGTTCTCATTCACGATGGGGACGACGCCCATGGAAAGGAGCTCCTTGAACGTGTTGACCGCATTCAAATACCGCGTACGCTGCCGTCGCGAATGTCAGCGGATTTCAGGAGAGCACCACACGGCCTCGACACACATCCGAAATGTCGCCGCGCGTCAGCAGGACTTGTGCGATCGGCTGTCCTAACTGACCGAAGAGGTTGTCCCACAGCGCGATCAATCGCCCCTGACCGATCGCAGCCAGGGCCTGTGTAGAGTATATAGATCAGTCAGTTATCGCGAAAATTTGGTGTAGCGATTGGACGCGCCTGTTTGCCAGATAGACTCTTGGGTCGTGAGGCGAGTTCCATACGCTTGAGACCAACCCCAATGGCGCCAGAGCTGACGAGAACGACCTTGTGCCCTTGGGATCGTAGATGGACGACTGTTTCAACTACTGATGAAAGTGTTGAAAGTAATGGTTGATGAGTGGTCTCATGGACGATAGACGAAGTTCCTGTTTAGAGATCAGTTACATATTGCAAGTATGAAGCATGTAGAGCATACCGAGCTTGATAACGATGATACACGGATGCCCACAGCGCCTAGAAGACATAATATCAGGGAAATAAAGCGACCAGGCGAATGTTCAGGTTCTTGGAAGCAATGACTCCATTGAACTCGGAATAGTTGGTTCGGATTCGGATGTCCGATGGATCACGTCGGGCAAACTCTGGAGATGAGTTTTAAAACTGTAAAAACAAGGCGTTTGATCACCTATGCCACGTACCCGGATTGAACGAATGACCTTCTCATTGAAGCACGCCACAAAGGGCGACGTACAAGTGAGACGCGCTACCACTACGCCAACGCGGCT